CTTAACTATGCCTACGGATTCCTAAGGATGCCTACGGGTTCCTTCGGATTCCTAAGGATCCTAAGGACGTCTACGGATTCCTAAGGATTCTCAGGGATTCTTAAGGATTCCGATGGATTCCCACGGATGCCTAAGGACCCGGGCAATCAAAATATGGTACAGGAATTGTGTTCTGGGAACACGAAGAACACGAAGTGGCCTACAGTTGGCTCCGCGCATTCAAAATGTGGCCTGGGAATGGTGTTCTGGGAACACGGAGAACACGAAGTGGCCCACAGTTGGCTCCGGGCAATCAAAATATAACACCGAAACGGTGTTCTGGGAACACGAAGAACACGAAACGGCCTACAGTTGGCTCCGGGCATTCAAAATGTGGCCTGGGAATTGTGTTCTGGGAACACGAAGAACACGAATTGGCCTACAGTTGGCTCCGGGCATTCAGAATGTGGCCTGTGAATGGTGTTCTGGGAAGACGAAGAACACGAAGTGGCCTACAGTTGGCTCCGGGCATTCAGAATGTGGCCTGGGCATGGTGTTCTGGGAACACGAAGAACACGAAGTGGCTTACAGTTGGCTCCGGGCATTCAAAATGCGGCCTGGGAATGGTGATTCCTGGGGCTGATCCTTTTGTCCGGTTCCTCCCCCTGGCGCGTCAAGATGCTTTCTTTTGATCCCATTAGAGACCTAACAGCAGAAGCTGTTAGGTAATAAAGCCATCAAGTTCAGAAGAAGTATGTTGTAGAGATTAATGGTACCGGAGTAAGACTCAATCAGAATTTGGGCTATGGGGCTATAGGGCTATAAGGTTATGGGGTTGTAGGGCAAGAGGGCTATAGGGCTATGGGGCTATAAGGCTATAGGTCTATACGGCTATAGGGCTATAAGGCTATGGGGCTATAGGGCACCTGGGCACCCGGGCAGCCCGGGGCACCTGGGCACGCGGGCCCGCCACTAAAATCGGCGGCACACCTCACCTAATCATATGAATCCGCTAGGACCCCTACAGAGGCAAGCTCTGATTGGGGAATAGCCATGTGATGGATCTCCGTCCGATTTTTTTCCAGCGTGTTGCGATACCATCATTCCCACGGTCTCGAGAGATCTCACACGATCGCTCATCAACATACATTGTAAATCCGTTGGGCAGACCTTGTGATTGAGCCCTCCCCCCTTATCATCTTCCTCCTCCTCCTCCTCCTCCTCCTCTGTCCCCATCCCCTTCCCCCAGGCTCCTTCGCTCATCCTCCACCGCCTCCCCTCTCTCGCCTCTGCCCCCGCCTGCTGCAGGGCTCATTTCGATTCTGACGATTCGATTCCGATTCGATGGTTTCCGATTCCGATTCGATTCGACATCGGATCCCGATTGGGGCTCCGATTTCTCAGTGGAGGTTTACCCGCCGATTCCCGCCGACTCGACTTTTCCCCGACTCGGCTGCCGATTTTCGCCGACCCGATTTATTTTGATCGCCGATTCGACTTATTGATTCCTTGGCATCGCGCGGACGTGTGGATCGCTTCTTCGGCGAGGACCATCGTGGAGCATGTTGGACCATCTTGCGAAAAAATACACGCTCGAAGTCGAAAAATGCACGGGAAATGGACGTCCGAGCGATGGCGAGATTCGATTGTGGGCTCTCCTGTTGCTGCCGCACGCCCTCCAGGTGACGTTCCCGGTGCCAGTGAACGCCTATGCTGTCAGGGGCGGCGAGCAGGATAAGGAGGAAGCGAAGGACAAAGGAAGAAGGATTGGTTGGGGACGTGGTAACCCTGAGATCCTGGCGTCGCATTTTTTCGCTCGTGCCCTCACAGGGCGTTTTCGCTCAACTTCGGGCCCCGGGACCCTCACAGAGCGATCCGGCTCGAAAAATGAAGCAGAAAGATGGGGTCCGGGGCTCCGGCCGTGAACTTCTGCGATGGGGCATTTTTGTTTGCAACGCCTATGCGGTCAGGGGCGACGAGTATGGTATGTTCACGTGGCGACGGCGCGCTGGCGGCGCCGGCGAAGGCGTTCGAGGTTGAATCTTCTGCGAAGCGGAAGCACCGATGGACACGGTGACGCCACTGGGCCCGACGGTCACCACCCACCAAACCACCCCAACCCAACCCGAAGGCTCAGATTTACCTTCGATTTCTAGTGGGGGGGGGTCCGGGAACATCGAAAAAACACATATGGAGCCCATACCCCCCCAACCCGAAATTCGGGTCTTCGGGTTAGGTTGGGGTGGTTTGGTAGGTAGTCAGACGGAATTCAATTTTGAACGATTGGGGCCGCGATCGATTCGAGGTTGAACAATCGGCGCGGTGTCAAAAGCCTTGGCTCGTGCCGACGCCGCGCGAGCCTACCCTAGGCGGACGAGGAGGACGCGAAGGACGAAGGAAAAGAGTCGAGGGGGCAAGTGGTCGAGGACGAAGAGGGCGACGAACCTCCCGTCTTCGGGGGCTCGAAGGACGAAGGAAAAAAGGCGAGGACGCGAAGGACGAAGGAAAAGAGTCGAAAAGACTCCAGGCTGCGCACAGGCAGTTCCCACAGGAGTAGTCCCAGCTGGCCTCCCGAGCAGCCCATAGGGCGGTCTCAAAGCACCGCAGGACGAAGGAAGGAGGAGGGGGATTGCGGTAAGGCTCCGGGCTGCGCACAGGCAGTCCTCGCAGGAGTAGGCCCGGCGGGCCTCCCGAGCAGCCCACAGTGCGGTCTCAAAAGATCCTGGACGATGAGGAGGAAGCGAAGGATGAAGGAAGAAGGATCGAGGGGGCTCGTGGTAAGGCTCCGGGCTGCGCAGAAGCAGCCCCCACAGGTCTCAAAAGATCCGAGGAGGATGAGGAGGAAGCGAAGGACGAAGGAAGAAGCATCGATGTGGGACGTGGTACGGCTCCGGGCTGCGCACAGACAGCCCCCACAGGAGTAGGAGGAGGATGAGGAGGAGGACGACGAGGAGCAACAGCAGCAGCAGCAGCAGCAGCATCGTGCAGCACGAGACTTGCGCCCACCCCAGCCTGGGCGGGAGGTCGAGTGGAGGAGCCCGGCCAGCGTCCCCGACAAGTACAAGAAGGCCATCAAGTTCCGTGTTGAGGACCGCTTTCTGGGGAGCCAGGTCGCAGACGTTCTGGCCGAGTCAAGGGCGAAAAGTATCCAAGTCCCCCCAGCATTGTTCGGACCGGACGAAAGGGGGGGATTGGGAAAGGGGGGGTGACGAAATTTGCTGCATGCAGCTGGTTTCGGCCTCACCGAGGGGCCCATTCCTCGATACATAGCCGCCTCCGGCGCCGGGAAAATCAGCTACGTGAGCTGATTTTCACCCCCCCCCTTTGCTATCCCCCCCTTTCGCCCGACCCGAGTTGTTCAAGAACGACCACGGCCCAAAGTGCGCGAAGATGGTCGCGCTTCGAGCGTCGCGGCCTCGGCCACAGGGCTGTCCTTCTCGTAATGGCGGCGGTGCGAGTGCGCGAAGTTACGCGTCCCAGAAGGACGAGGGAAGAGGACGAGGAGACACGACGACGACGACGACCACCACCACGACCACGACCACGACCGCGACCACGACCACGACCACGACCACGACCACACCCACGACCAAGACCACGACGACGTCGACGACAACTACGACGACGACGAACACGACGGAGACGAACACGACGACGACGACCACCACGACCACCACGACCACGACCACGACCACGACCACGATCACGACGACGTCGACGACAACGACGACAACGACGACGGCCACGACGGCCACGACGACGACGACGAACACGACAACGACGACGACGACGACGACGACAAACACGACGACGACGAAAACGACGATGACGACGACGACGACGACGACGACGACGACGACGACGACGACGACGACGACGACGACGACGACGACGACGACGACGACGACGACGACGACCGCGAGTTGACCATCTTGCTTCCGGCGAAGGGCCATTCCGTTTCTGGGTCATAACTCAGGTCTTTGGCTGCCGTTTGGGACGATTCGAGCACCCCCCGAACGCTCTCAGGCGAAGCTGCTCGAACTCATCCCGAGGCATTATATCCCCCAGGAACCGACGAAAGCGCCCAAAAGTCTTGACAACCCTAATCCGAAAGAGCGGAGTCCCTTCCCTAGTTTCCCGTCGCCCTTACCCCACTAAGAGGGGCCTCCTAATGCTCCCTCTCCTCCTGCTCCTTCTTGCTACTTTGCTTTGAGTTCAAGGTGAGCGGCTCATGCGTTGGCCCGTGCTCCGGTACGTCGGGTGCACGACTCGGCCAGCCTGTCGGTCCTTCTCCTCCTCCTCCTCCTCCTCCTCCTCCTCCTCCTCCTCCTTTCCCTCCATCTCCTCCTTCTCCTCCCTCTCCTCCTCCTTCTCGTCCTCCTCATCCTCCTCCTCCTCCTCCTCTTCCTCTTCCTCCTCCTCCTCCTCCTTCTCGTTCTCCTCCTCCACCTCCTCGTCCTCCTCCTCCTCCTCCTCCTCCTCCTGCTCCTCCTGCTCCTCCTCTTCCTCCTCTTCCTCCCTCCCCGTCGCCTCGCCCCCGCCCTTTCCCCGTCAGCGCGCGCGCACGCGCGCCCCCAGGAGGAGGGGCACCCCCTGCAGCCTGTGCAGGGGGAGCTCGCCTTCGACCCCTTCGCCATGATGGACGAGCAGCCCGACAGGCTCCTCGAGCGTCGCGTGCTCGCCGGGGCGGGCGGCTCGCTCGGGCACCGCGGGGCGGCATTCGCTTCGAGGAGGGAGGAGGAGTAAGGAGGAGGTGGGAGGAGGAGGAGGAGGAGGAGGAGGAGGAGGAGGAGGAGGAGGAGGAGGTGGAAGAGA